CGCAGAAGCCACCCCATAGCCCCCCTGCTACCAAACCTTGCCATGCAAACCCAGTACAAGCAGCAGTATGTGTCTTCTCATCAGCTTCCAAGGGGCCCTAGAGCAAGTAAGGATGTCCCTAAAGGCAGCTCTGATTAATCCCATCACAGTGAGAACTAGCCGTATCTAACCAAAACCCCCCAAGTACTTGGGGAAGCAGCACTCAGTGGTGACGCCACCCGGGTCCCTGCGGCTGAGAAGCCTTCCCTGTGCCAACAGCCCCATAGCACCCTGCTTAGAAAGAGCTCAGTGGCTTTAACCACTCACACAAACATCTCCAAATCATGACATCCCACCATGGCACCAGCCCCAGCGGAGCCTCTGGAAGCCCCAAGCACTCTGTGGGCTCTTCTCCTTATTTCAATTACCATGTGAGAAGCATATAGCTTCTTGCATGGCTCCAATTTAGGAAAGCATCTAACTATAAGAAATAATGTACTAATCTGGGGTTTTCATAGGAGATACCGTTGCCCATCAGGGCTTTTGCTCTTTACAGCTGCATGCAGCATGTCCCAGCTCAGCTCCTGGGGTGAAATCCAGTTTTTGCTTGAATCTCTGGTTTATGGTATGCCAACTTACCTCACAGATCTAGGTCACTAATTTGGTTTTGGCAATTCTGCTCCTCTACTCTGCTCTGGTGAGACCCCACCTGGAGTCCTGCGTCCAGCTCTGGAGCCCTCAGCACAGGAAAGACATGGACCTGTTGGAGATGCTCCAGAGGAGGCCAACAAAATGACCAGAGGGCTGGAACACCTCTCCTGTGAGGACAGGCGGAGAGAGTTGGGGTTGTTCAGCCTGGAGGAGAGAAGGCTCCAGGGAGACCTTATTGCAGCCTTACAGTACTGAAAGGGAGCTTCTAAGAAAGATGGAGACAGACTTTTTAGCAGGGCCTGTTGCAATAGTACAAGGGTTAATGGCTTTAAACTGAAAAAGGGCAGATTTAGACTAGGTCTAAGGAAGAAATTCTTCACACTGATGGTGGTGAAACCCTGGCACAGGTTGCCCAGAGAGGTGGTAGATGGCCCATCCCTGGCAACATTCAAAGTCAGGTTGGATGGGGCTCTGAGCAACCTGATCTAGTTGAAGATGTCCCTGTTCCTTGCAGGGGGGTTGGGCTAGATGGCCTTTAAAGGTCCCTTCCAACCCAAAGATTCTATGATTCTATGATTCTAAACCTTTTAGGTTCACTTTGTATAGATTACCCTTTACACCAGCCAGGACGAATAATGTGAACTGTAGAGCCATTGAGTTGAATATCTGTTTATAAAAGCTTAGAATAAAACTCCCAACAAATCTTACTATAAAATGACCTGCAAGAGTCATTTTGGGGGTTTTGGTGTGTTGGGAGGCCTGAGGGCTGGTCATTAGCTTCTGTTTTGGTCAGCATCGATCCATTCAGATCCCCTTTTCTTGATCTACAGTGTCAAATGCACACCAGGAGAAACCTCTATTTCGCTTCCATAGGCTCATTCAGCTTATCTTTTCCCAACTTTTTTAACTTTGATGAAAAATAAACCTTCATGTGCCTTAAGCTCCTTTGAAATACAGACAACCTGGAACTGCAGAAGCTGCAGCACTTCTACATTTAATACTGCAAGCTGCAGCTGCTGTATAGATATGAGAAAAAGCATCTCTCTCTAGTTCAGCAATACTTTATAGTTCATGCAAAAAAGGACAGGTAATAGAGCAAGATAGCGCAGCCATGGTGCTTTCCAAATTTTCCAATTGGAACTAATTATTTCATTAGCTTTACAGGGTAACAGATGTTTAAAAATGATGAAAAATACATTACAAACAGCCCTATTTATGGATTAATACATATGGTAATAAAAAATGGGTAAAGTTTTATTGTTTCTTCTTTTACCTGTCTCCTAATATAACCAACCAGGCTTTACTTGTAAAGGATTGTCTGGAATTTATGAAAAGCTCTGCTTCATCTCTGGCAGAGATATGTGGCCATCAGGCTTTCTTCAACTGAGTTTGTGTGTGTTCTGCGTGAGAAGCAATTACGTCAAAGATGTAAAATGATGCAAATAGGGTCGCTGGCCACACCTGCAATATGAAAAGCCGATTTAAGTGATTTAATGAACAAGCAGAGACAATTCTGATTTCACAGGTACACTCCAATCTGTATGTTGTCTTTGCTTTTGTTTTTGTCCCTCTGCTGATAGCTCTTCTCTTCCTCTCTCGCAGTAAATCACATGAAGGTCACTCCCATGGATATATCCACAGCCTCTCTGCTCAATGTCTTCAACGGGAACGAGTGCGGAGCACAGGGGTCCTGGCAAGTTGGGGTTCAGCAAGATGTCACCCACACGAATGGCTGCATCGCGCTCGGCATCCGCCTACCTCACACCGAGTATGAAATCTTCAAAATGGAGCAGGATGCCCGGGGCAGGTACTTGCTGTACAACGGCCAGAGACCGAGCGACGGGTCCAGCCCCGACCGACCAGAGAAGAGAGCCACTTCCTACCAGATGCCTTTAATTCAGTGCGCTTCATCAGTACCCAGATCTGAAGAGTCACCAGAGGAGAATAAAATAAGGCTGTATAGCAGCAGGGCACCGGAAAAACATCCCAGCGCCCTGGCTCTTGCTTTGGTGTTGTTTATTTGTACTGTGTCATATTGGGACATTCTCAGCTCGAATTGAAAAAAACTTATTTTTCATGACTACAAAGCCAGGATTCCACCAGACTGGGGGTTGTTTTTCTTCCAAAAGAAAGGGACATTCATTTTCTTGATGCACTTGAATGCCTGAGAACCGTTGTTCTTTTCCTTACTTCCCCCCTCCTCCTCGAATCCTGAACGGCACTCGTTTGATGTTTGTGCTTTGAACTTCATCCAGTCTGATCCCTGGCCTGACATGACTGCACAAAAGTAATTGCACTTTAGGACTGCAGACTTTTGGGGGGAGGGAGGGGGTCTCCTTTTATTATTATTTTCTAACTGCTGGGGTGATGTTATGATCCTGCTTCAGTCGTCTCTGCCATCTTACCGTTGTGGTACTCTTCTCCCCAGCGCTGGATTTCTCATCAGAATTTATCTCTGGGGAAGAGCTCGGTGTCATGCCAGTACTGTGATAGTGGCTTCCCCCTCTGACTTCACAGCTCTGATGTAGATATGTACATAAGGAGGAAATCCACAAAGATTTATCTTGTCATTATCTCACAGCTCCTAACACAAAAGGAAACAGCAAATCAATAGCCCTCTGTTCAGATAGTGCTAAACGGTTAATACCTCTAATTAAAAAAATATTTCAAGTAATTTAAGCTATTTTACAATCATTAAGTTGTAAAAATAACCAGTGGTTTAATATTTTCTCATTCAATTTCCTTAGCTATGTAATTGCTTCGAGGCCTCCCTTTGTATCTAGTGAATAGTCACAACCAAGCCCCTTAAAGCCAGACAGAAGCAGGATTTTTCTGTCAGATGCACACAGCCCAGGTAAGTTGCCGGTGCAAGGCTGCAGGGTCTTCTTCTGCTTTCGTATTCCTGAGGCCTTACATACTCCGGGTGCGGTATTCATCCCTTGGATTTTGTGTCAGCCAGGTGGACAAAGCAAAGAAGCACACGGGGTCTAAGGTGTTCTGCAAGCCTATTTAGCAGCGTATTTTTAGTGATGTGACCTTATGTAGGAACAAGTAAAGTGTTTCAGCAGCGAGCGCACCACGGCCCCTAGTAAAACAAGAGAGCAGGCAGAAACAGAGCCCCATCCATCCGAGAGGGAGTGACTGGACCAGTCGTACCAGAGGCAGGAGCAAGAGCTGCACAAATGCAGCTGCCCCCTCCCTTTTCTCCTTGCAGGACTGTCCCAACACATGCCATGATTTCACTGAGCTTAAGTCGGCATTGGTTTGGGGAGCGACTGCTGGGAAGGTGGATAGGCACAGCCCCTCGGGGCATTCCTCAACAAGCGCCTGCCCTGGAAGCCCTCGAGTTTGTCCCGGTGGCAAATACGTCCTTGTGTGCACTGATGCAAATCAGAGCAGACTCTGGAGGCAGCAGGGGAGATATTTAAGGCCAGCAAGGAGGTACAAGTTCATAGATGAACCATGCTCCCCTGCTTTAATGGGGAGTGAGCTGAAGGCACGGCTAGAACTTGAGGCATTTGGGCTGTGGCTTTTACCAATATATGCACGTGTTTTGGCTCGCGGGAGGGGCAGGAACCTGTGTAAGAAACAAGGAGTAAGGTCACGGTGTTCCTTAAGCAGTATCAGCAGCTTCTAGCTGCCCAGTCCAGTACTACGGGAGAAAAAAGCTTGTAATATATTATTTTCAGCATTGTAGGAGAAGTATGTCTTGAATAAGGGTCTTTCAGCTCTACATAGATGACTGCCCATACTGTCTGTTACAGCAAAAGCATTCTTTTGAAAACACAGTGACAGCATGGACCTTGCTAGCAAAAACAGCAGGAAAAAGCCATTTGAGCAGCAAATGGCTATGCTCAGGCTCCCTATCTCCTCAAAGTCCATGCCTTGGCAGTTTTTCCAAGCTGGTATCAGCCTTGGACGTGAATTTCCTCAGATGCACCTGGTTTTGAGACAGCAGGAGGAAGGGAAGAAGGAACAGTATCATAGACTCACTGCCAGGTCAGATCACATCTTTCACATTTTTTCCTCAGACAGATGAAAAGTCACAGAAAACTCACTGTGAGTCAGGAACAGAGCTCAAGATGGCTCAGTAGTCACTAAAAAAAATGTTCATCCATCCGATACAGATCCTCCTTCAGCCTGCTGAAAAGAGCTGAAAACCAACTCCCCATGACGAATGCTTTGGTCAAGCATTGGAACAGGCTGCCCAGGGAGGTGGTGGAGTCACCATCACTGGAAGGGTTCAAAAAACGTGGACGTGGCACTTCAAGATATGGTTTAGTGGGCATGGTGGTGTTGGGTTGACGGTTGGACTTGACGATCTTAAAGGTCTTTTCCAACCTTAATGATTCTGTGATTCCGTGAATCAGGCACTACAAACAAAACAGCTGCTCTGATCAGCATTTCTTGATGGTTTTCAGATCCACACAGTCAAACCTACTTGAAGAGTCAGTTCCAGATCAGTTGCGGGCATGAGGAGCATAGTTTTAACTAGAAGGTCAAGGAGACTTGATGCCTCTGAAACAGAAACTAGAAACCAGGACGGAGTTTGATTTTCTCTAGCTAGACTTGAGTGTTTTATTCAGCAGATTTACACCAGCATATCTCCAACTGATTTACTGAGCTATTATAAGACAGTTAAACAAGTCCTTTCAAGTAATAGCTTTGTTTCTGGCTTCTGTTCAAGACATGGTGGCACGACTGAATTCATGTTAGTCTTTATTTATGAGGATGGGTATGGCATAATGTTCCTCATACCACAGGAGACAAGCTTCTTCCACCACCATTGACCTTTTACACCTTAGGTAGTCTCATCTCTAGAAAAAATATCAATGGCTAGGAGCTGTCAGACCCCGTTCCTTCCCTGTGCAAGTGCCACACACAACTTGGTCCCAGCTGAAATCTGCACATGATTGTGATGCAGGATTGAAGCCGAGAGCAAAGGAACTGCTCCACAGCACCATGTTCTATACTCATCAGAGCAAGATCTACAGTTTACTAGTGCTTCATGGCTCTCCTGTAAATTGCTTAATGTCAGAAATACTACAACAGTTTCAAGAGAAAGACCTATCTAGTTCTTGCCTCTAAAAAGCACATTCATTTCTCAGCGGTGTTTTGAATCACAGACTTGCAAAGATCTAGGTTTCCCGAGGCTTACTGTTACACTAAATGCAAACATGACACAATGTACAAATTGTACAAGAACTGCATTTTTTTTTCAGTCACCTAGAGATGGTTAAAAAGGAAGCACTTGAAAAAGGCCTTCATAATGCATTGCCAGAAACCTGATTTGGGGCTTCTCTAGTTTATTTGTAGTGTTGACTGGAAACATGCATTTTATGATCTGGGTTCTTAGCATATGCTACACCAGCTTCCCTCCTTGTGCCTATATATTTTTTCTTTATTTTTCTATTAGCCAATACATGCCAACTTGGACAAAGATGTAAGTCTTCAGAGTGCACAGTTGATTTGCCAATCCACGTTCTCTGCAGGGCTTCTCCTATGCTACAGGCACAGAATTAGGAGCTAAGCTTCCCTGATCTTTTGATTTCATCATGCACTAAATTAACTGTTGCACAGCTCCATATACATTTGTGATGCAATATATTCCATTCATTTTATTTCTCCAACCTGACCTCATGTGCTGGCAGTCCTGGCTGCTAAAGAAGCTAAGCTGCAAGTGGTTTAGCAGCAAAAGACCTACAGAGTGATTTGTCCCATACTGAAATGCAGCAGCTTTAAAAAATGAGACAATTAATGTTGGTACCTTCAATAACTGCCAGTGCTGCCAGGACAGGTGAAAGTTTTTCTCCCAGTAATATCCTACTTAAGGAGCCACTTGACAGAAGAAATGGTAACCTGAAGAAGTTCTTGGGCAAATTGTTTTAACAGGTTCTATTTAAGGAAAAGGACAAAAGGGATCAGAAAAATCAAAACAAGTGTTCTTACTCTCTTTCTATACCATTTACATATTGTGCCTGCTGCCCTGGTGTAAAATGTCATTTTTATGAAAAGAAGTCCATATTTTAAGATACAATGTCTGTCTTGCTTGAGTTGGAGTGTGCTTGCTTAAAGTGCAGGATTTAAAAAAAAAAAAAACAAATCTTTTTATTTTTGTAAAGCTATAGAGGATATTTTTCTTCTCAACTATGTTCCAGATTAAACTGCCAGGGAAGTTTAAGCACTTGTTAAACTATTGATTGAAATAAAAAAGCCTAACTGAAAAATTAAGGATTTTTTTTGCCTCCTATACATGTTAGTTTTCTGTTCTGTTGACTTTCTACCTGTAAAAAATTATAGATGTCACGGAAAGCAATAACCAAAAATCCCTTTGTTGAGTAACTTGTACACAGAAAAGCTCATTTCCTACTATATGCACAAGAAAACATTTTTGGTTGACAACACATCACTAGAAACAGCTCTGATGGATACTGCTGGGATGATTTGGGTTTCACAGCACATCTTCAAGTCCTCTGAATAAAATGGGGGCTGGAAGTGCCCAGCAAGTAGTGACGGCATTGGCTTGCAAGGAGTAGGTTCAGAGTAGCTGTGTTGAGAAAGGGTGTGGCTCAACAGAAACAAAATATTTTTTGTAAGTGAGATATAAGCAAACAAAACAGCATTACTGCTCTGTTATTCCATCTCACTTGCTCTAAGGGCTACAACCTGGAGGCGGTGACAGAGCAGGGAGGGATTAGAAAAGACACTTTTCTTAAAGAGGAAGAAAAACTGCAAATTAACTGAGAATGGAAAGAAAACCACAGGATAACAAAAGTATCTTTCTTCAGTGCTGTGCAGCTTTACTCCTGCCTCACTTGCACAAAGAAAGAAGAGGTAAATGAAGCCAATGAGACTTCTGCCACCACCAGCAAAAGCTCTGGAGCCAACCAGTTGCTGAGTTTTCCGAAGTGACTCAGGACATCCCTGAAAGATGAACTTGGTTTTCAGGAAGCATGCCCTAAATTACAAGGCTCTCCAAATGCAGTAGCCACAGCCTGTGAAGACGTGGCCTCCCTTCCACATAAAGCAGTGGGTATGGATGAATTTAGGCATAAATAGATTTTACGTGGCATAATTTACTTACTCCTGACACAACAGGGAAGGCTAGGTAATAAAACTCAGCACCACTCATTCTGAATTTTTTCATTAATTTTCCATAATTTTCCCCTCTTACTACAAGTATTTGCCAAGAAATTTTTCCTTCTAGTCTTCTCTGTAGTGCAATAGCTCTTGATTTTTTTCAGTTACTATTTGCTGCCAGCAATAAATAACAATAAGGAAATGAAGAAACAAAATTTCCACTCCACTGAATCAGGCAGAAACAAACATTGCTGCAAGGAATCAAAGTACAAGTACCCTCAACGGCTGAGGAAAGAAAAGTTGGCCTGAGCAATTATTTATCAGGTACCTTCTCCCCACCCCTTCCTCTTCACAAGCCTACTCCAGGGTATAGGACTAGTCCATGGGGTGGATTCTAGTTATGGTGCTACCAAACCCCAATGAGAGTAATTAATTCCTATGTGTCTTCCAGTAATGGCGACTGCCCGTGATCGCGGCCTCAAAGCAGGCAGGCATGATTCCCAACATCCCTTTCCCATGGGAACCACATCGGTCCTTGTCCGCTGCCATTTCCAAGACAGTCTATTGGAAAATGGGAAAACAAGCTGTCCTCAGAGAAA